CGAATGAAATATGATAAAAAATAAGAATGGTTACTTTTTATTATGAAAAAAAAATCAATAAAAGAAATTTACTCAATAAATTATGTTTAAGTCCTGCCAATTCTTTATTTATTTCCCCTTTTCCATCCCTCTCTTCTTTAATTGTGATAAATTAATTATATTCAAAAAAAATTTAATAAAAGGTGAAATTTTCGAAAAATTTTAAATTAAAAAAATACATTTTTTAAGAATAGGAGAAAGAAATGGGTTGTTTCATAATTTCTCGTCTTTTGAGGGACGTTGGTGCAAAACAAGTTTACTGCTCATCTGGGAATGGAAGTAGTACTGGGAATTAGGCCGCCGGAGAGGATAGCACACCGTCGTCACCCAAGTTGAATTGAATGGACACAAGCGCTTTAAGAACGCTAAACGCATTAACGCCTCTCCGTTCTCGCTTCCAATCAAGGACTTTTGGGTTTGGCTCTTCCTCCTCCTCCTCCTCCCCTCAAGTACTCAGGTCCAAGTTCCACTCTCCTCTCGCCCCCTCCTCCTCCTTCTCCTTCCACCGCCTCTCTCCACTCTGCTCTCTCTGTAAGACCCCTTTTCCTCTCTTTCTCTTGCTAATACACATATGCCTTTATCTGTACATATTTTGAGTAATGAAAGTTATCATTTTGATGCTTTCTGTAATGTTGTTGGAATTGTTACTCATGCTTAATTTAATTGAGTTATTTCCTTGGGGCTGTAGCTGAAAATGTCAATGGGAGCGCTCTGCCGCCAGGGGTTGGTGAGGCAGTTGCCGAATCTTCCAAGAAAATTCTTCATGTTGTCTTAGTTTCTCCTCAGGTACTGTATCTAGACCAAGTTTGTATCAAGATTGATGTTGCAACTATCAAACCAGAATCTCAATTTTCCAAAATCCCTATGCAATCTTTTAATTTCTTTTAACATTAATATTGTATTCTTTTTTCTTTTTTTTTTTTTATTGCTAAATGTTTTAGTCTTTTAGTTTGGACTAGGATAGCATAGCAAAAACTATGTCAAACTGATATGTAATCTGAATCCACATGTACCAAATCAGAATGCAGCTTATGGTTTTAACTCCATTTTGTTAGTTTTGAATCCTCCTACTGCTTGTGTACATTAGTTTAGTTGACACTGATTATTGAAGTTGTTGATTAAAACCGGAGGAGTGGGGTTGCATGGGCCAAACTTTTAAATATTGAATCATTAGAAGGTTTTTTTCCATTTTGTTATTTTTCTTATTTCCTTCAAAATACAGACAAAAATATCACATTGTTCCTGTATCTTAGTGGTGCTCCTGATATCAAAATTTATATAAACACACTCGCAGACAACCTCAATTTCTCAAGGCTGGCTCTGAGATTTGTTTGTTGTTCTTGCCAGATTCCTGGAAATACTGGTTCCATTGCAAGAACATGTGCAGCATCAGCAGTTGGTCTCCACCTAGTTGGGGTACATGTCCAAAGTGTTTATTTTTAACTTTAAGTTTGTTTCTAATTCTCCCATTTGTGTTCTCTATCAAAGATTGCTTCTATATTCACCATGCTTCTGTTTCATCAGCCATTAGGATTTCCAGTGGATGACACTAAGCTAAAGCGTGCAGGATTGGATTATTGGCCGTATCCAAGCTTGTATTTCTATTTGTAGCATTTTCATATTTAACTGTCTTGTTAAGGTGTTTCATGTTTGCCCTTCTATATGCCTGCATTATTCTTCATTCAAAGAGCCAATATTTGTCTTTTCTTCACAGGGTTCTGCCACATAAGTTCACTTCTTTTCTTTTTAGATTTTTAAATAGATTATTAGAAGCTATATCGTTAATTCTTGCTCTTCAATCTTTAAGTGGACATGTCCAGTTTTCAACTTTTACTTTGATGTTAGATTTGTTGTTGTTAAAGTTCATGGCTCATGGACAGAATTTCGAGACTATTTCGAGAAACAGGTTTTTCTCATTTCCCATCATGGATCTTTTGAAAGGACTAGGCTTTTTGGTCATAGTTAACTCAACAAACTTTTGGTCCTCTTCTGTAGGAGGGTGATAAGCGATTGCTTGCATTTACTAAAAGAGGAACAACAATTCATTCGGTACGTCCTCTCATGCTTTTTGTTTCTGACTTCCATTTAACTCTTGTTCATGATTAAATTTTCCTTCACCTCTTTTGACTCTTGGGCAGTTGTAGTCCTCCTACCATTACCTCTTTGCACGGTTTCCACCATCTAAATTTGTCACCTCATGCTGTGTACTTATTTTTTTCATATTGAGTCTCCATTTTTGTCTATAATTAGCAGCAGAACATATTTTGGCATCTTAATCTTTCTATCTTTGCAGGTTTGCAACATCCTAGTTTTAGGCTGTCATGTGTTAAAAGTGGTCAGAATATTTTTTTATGCAATGCAACCTTGTTACAGCCAATATATGGGGTTTGTTTTTGCAGGAGTTTTCTTACAGAAAGGGTGATTATCTGGTATTTGGCTCGGAAACAAAGGGCCTTCCTCCTGAAGCCTTAGTGGACTGCAAAAGCAACTCCTTCGGGGGTGGAACCATTCGGATTCCAATGGTTGATACTTATGTTAGATGCTTGAATCTCTCTGTTAGTGTCGGTATCTCTGTTTATGAAGCTTCTAGACAACTGAATTATGAACAGCTTCAAAACCCCTCTGAAAGTTGTATTGATGGAGAAAGATGTTTCAACACTGAAGACATTTTTGCTTGATCTATCAAATCTTAATCACAGTTTGGAACCCTTGTGGAGGTTTATTGGAGTTGCCTCTATTTGTAGGTCAATTTACATTTCAGATCTGTGATTCTTTGGAAAACATTTTTGAAAATATCATTAGTATTTGTTATTTAAAAGCTTGTGAGAACTAATATATATATATATATATATATATTGGCTTTTAAAAACTAAAAGATTTGAATGTGCACAGTTTTCTATTAGAATTTCACTATGAGAACTTAGATTTTCATATATCTGTTCTGTCATTATTTAAGTAATGCAGCAAACTTCATAATTACTACTACTATTCTATTCCATTGACCATGCTTCTGTTTGCTCTTCCATGCATGATGGGATCTATCAATGAATTAGAGTGTGTCTAACAGAAATTAATGTATTGAGCCATGCCCGAATGCACCTTTTATGTCTGATAACACTGTTGTTAAGAGACCAAAAGGCTTAATTCCGAAATTATAGTGCATGAACTATATATTCTAACCAATGATGAACTAGTTTTAGCAGAGTCTTTTTGTATTGCTTATAATCATCCCTTTCCTTTAAAAGTTTAAAAACGTGTTTTTTAGTTCTTATAATCTACATTAAAAAAATTAAAGAAAAAAAGGAAACAAGAAACAAAAAATCAAAAAACCAAAAACCAATCTTGTGTAGTACTATTTATTTATTTGGGGGAAGAGAAAAAGACCGATCAAGGTGATAATTAAAGGATTTATTTGAACTTGAAACAATTCTTAGTGAACAAAAGCATACATTGCTCGGAATTCCTAGCACTAGAAACTTTAATGGTGGGCTGAACACCATAAATAGACGATCCAGGCCATCCAAAATTCAAGTTACAGGCAAGACCGGACTTTGTAATGTTTCTAAGCTGAAACATTTTCCCAACCAAAAGTATAAATGAAGTACTAGCATTTGACATCAAAGAACAACAAAATGCAAAAATAACAACTTTTAGGTTCCTTGAAAGAAACAAGAGAATCAAACACAAATTGGGTTAACTAACTAAAAAATATCGAAAAATTGGAAGGATGGACCGATTCCACGCTCAATCTTCTTCATCAATGACCTTGGTGGCCAACCCTTTTAAACCCTCTGGAGGGATCTCAGCAACAGTAACCAGTGAGTAGAACTCCTCCTTAGCATCCTCCTCATCATTTCTCTTGCGTGCAATACGAACCCGAATTCTCCTAGGCACGCTCCGGATCCCACGGCTCCACACATGCTTGTTGAGCTTAACGTCAACCCTGACATCAGTTGTTGCCATGGCCTTTTGGGCAAACTTCCTGATCTCTTTTATAGCCTTTGGAGCCTTCTTCTTAAATGTGCTGAAGCAATGGATTTGTTTGCAACAGAAGAAGAAGGAAGAAAAAAAAAAAAAACGAAACCGCATCAGCTAGAGACTAGAGATGGAAATTTGCCACCTAAGGATTGAAGCTAAATGCTAAAAGAAAAGGGCATTCCCCTAAAAAGCTTTGATAGAAATAAATAACTAAACTATGGCGACCCAGAATTTAAGAGTAGGAATATCCTACACATTAATCCACGATTTTGGCTGAGCATTTGCATAATTAAGAAGCTATACATAGGTCCAGTATGAAAGAAAGAAAGAAAGAAAACTAAAACTAGTACCTCCTTGATATAATGTATCAAATAAAAATCACAAGGTACTTAAGATATCATATTCATATCAAAACCCATTACCTTGAAACAGATCCTGATCGATTGAGATCTAACTAAACTATATAAGAAAAAATGATAATGTTAGGGGTGAAAGGAATTTACCATCCATGGAGACGCTTGTGGAGGTTGATGGTGTACTCTCTGGTGACAACCTCCTCTTTTCTGCCTTTTCCCGTCCTCTCCACCATTTTATGCGTCTGCTTCCTCCCCTTTAACAAACCCTAGGCGGTGCGCTGCACCTCCATTACATGTATCCCCAAATATCATATACTATACTAACACTACCGCTTCGTAGAATGCAATTACTTCTATACCCTCCTCAACAGGTCAAATTTGTAAATTTATGTATTGGGCTCTTGGGTCTGAGATGGAGATGGGCCCAGCAGAAAGAAAAATGGGCTTACATAGAAAGAAGACCAAAAAAACCAGTCCATGAAGCCTAGGGCACTACTCATTCTCTTCAGCTGCTTGCTTCTTCCACACTTCGACACCCACAGACAGTCCCCTGCAATTTTTTATTTTATTTTATTTTATTTTTCTCTGAATCATAAATCATTGATTCGAGTGAATATTCGATAAACAAAGCTAGTATTAGTAGGTTGCTTTTTGTGTTTGTGCCAATTTTAGGGTTGTGGGTGAGTTGAGAGATTGTATTTACATTATTATTGTTACAATGGTAATGTATTCCATCCTCTTATTCATCTCATATTCTCATTCAGTCATTCTCATGAGTGGTCCTTTTTTTTTTCTTTTTTTCTTTTTTTGGGTTAAAAGATTGGCTGATTTTGAATGTATTCAGTCAGGCAGAAAAGAAACAGTCTTGGATTTGGCAAAGTTTGTGGACAAGGGTGTTCAAGTCAAGCTTACTGGTGGTAGACAAGGTCTTTATTTTCATCTTTTCTTGCTTTTCTTTCTTTTCACTTCACTGATTTTCAGTTCTTTTTAATAAATACAATGCACAAGCTTACTATCCTTCCAAAGACATATTCTTTGTTCAAAAGGGGATTCATTTCATTGGACGGTTAATAACTGGATTTCAATTTACAGTTGCATCAGCATCAACATCCTCAAAATAATTACCATCCCAATTCAATAGTCTAGTAGCATCTTCTGGGTGGAAGGCCAGTACAACCCTAGTAGCATGCAAGTGACATTGTTTTTAGTAAGCTGTTTTGCTCAAGTATCAGTTGCTAAAGTGCTCATCTTTTTTCTTCTTCTTTTTGTTTCCAGTGACCGGGACCCTAAAAGGATATGATCAGTTACTAAATCTAGTACTGGATGAAGCTGTAGAATTTCTAAGAGGTAATCACAACAATGGGACATTTAGAATGCTTTCAGTGCGGACGTATTTAAGTTGCTAATTGTTGTTTAGTGATTGTTTGATGTTACACTTAGATACCTTTCATTATGAAGCACTATGTAGCTGCTGATGATGTTATTTATTTCTTCTAAGCATAAACATCTATTCTGTGGCAGTTGGAATATGTGATTTTACGTTCCAGATTAAGTATAATTACGCTCAACCTCAAGGCCAATGTGAAATATGCACTCTTAAGATTTACTTAGGCAGGGATTAATCATCCTCAAGCTGACCTTGACTGTCCAAACCAAAAGAATAAAAATAAAAAAAGGCTCTGTAGCTCGATCTCTGTATCTTGGTTGATGTTAATCCGTACATAATATGTTATAAGTTCTTTCCCTCAATCCCTCTAAGTTGGGTGGGTGGTCAATCTTCTGCACTTATATGTTTTCTGGAAGCATTCATCTTGCATCGTAAGATCTTAAATTCTGTTTTCTTGGGTGTCACCTGGAAGGCCTTTTTTATAATGCTGAGCTTTTTTGTGGGCTATCTGTTATAGCATCTTGTTAGGGCCAATTAATGGTAACTCTTGCTGATCCTCACTTACACTTTAGTGATTCCTTTGTGGAATCATGTGATCATCATCGTAATTATTGTTATATTTGTTCTTGTTTTTCCAATGTCAAGTGTAGCTTCCCATTAAGGATTCAAGCGTCGAATTCATTCTAACATTTTTGCATTGTGTTCCAGACCCAGATGACCCATTGAAGACTACCGATCAGACCAGGCGTCTGGGGCTAATAGTATGTCCTTTTTCCTCCCCCTATCCCATCTGCATCTGCTTTCTCCTTTCTGAGTATTTGTTTTGAGGAGTCATGGTATCATGTAATAGTGCCGTGCTCAATAGGTTTCGTAGTTTCACTAATGAATCATCATATACTTGATTTGATGCTTGCTGAATCTCGAAATTTAGATTGTCTTGAAGCCTTCCTATTATTATGAATAACCCATGGTGATGGAGCAATTAGAATGGAATCATATCTCAGAAAATGATGGATTGTTTCCTGTAACTAGCTGAGCAACAGATATGCATCAGGTCTATTCTCTACTCCTGTTAACGGTTAAACCTGTGATTCTGCTGCAGGTTTGTAGGGGAACTGCTGTTATGCTTGTTTCGCCTACTGATGGTACAGATGAGATTGCCAACCCTTTCATCCAGCCAGATGCCTCCTAGATATGTGTAACTGCACCAAACCCGACGTTCTTCTTCACTTCAGATCTGCACTCCGGATTGACCTGCAAAGCCCCAAGATCCATACCCCCATACTCTAAAGGCATTACCTCACTCCCTACTATACTTTGTGATCTTTCTGATGACATTTTCTCAAACTCTGCACCAAGTAGGGGGGAGGAATAAGT